GCTTCGGTAGCCCGACGACCTGCGCGCGAAGTCGAGCACTTTACGGTAGCACAGTTTAACGAGGACCAATACCGCACACCCTCGGTCCCTACGCAGACTGATCCAAGTGGTCACCCACCCGCACACTGACCGCAGCCAGTGATGCTTGACTTCGGTGATCTGCAGGGAACCGTGTCTTAACGATCAGTCCACTGCGGGACTAATGCAACGTAGAATAAAGTACTATAGTTCTTTCACCAGGAGTTGGCACTTGGCTCCGCCTTTATCACGTGTTATCCGTCAATACTATTTCGCTATTTTTGGGAGAAGGATGTGAATAATCCTGAACGAGGTTGTTATTTGGCGATCGTATGACAAAACTATTTATTTCGCAACCTTGTTTTAACATTAAATATTTTATAAATTTCATGATATTTCTCTCTTTTGAGTGAATAGTTTGTTCTTTTTGAGACATTTTGCGGGGAAAACAGCAGTTTTTAAATTTAAAACATATTTAGCTAGAGAGACGAAAGGTATAATAGCAGACGATAAAGCGAAGTACGTGGCCGAAAAGAATTCACTGTTTGCGTTTGGCGAGCAGTAAGGGTTGTCTCATTTTCAAGTACGGAGATCTTTCTCCTCTTATTTCCGCCCTGAAATAAACTCTGCGTCCGAGAAAGTAGAGCCAAGTACCAACTCCTGATCAACGAACACTTTATTTAGTTTACTTGATGAAGCAAACTAGACAAGGGAGACATATTTTAGCCATCGCTGGGTGACATATTAGATTTCAAAGTTCAGTGAATTTCTTTTAATCAATTTAAAATTATTTTTAATGTTTACCAAATTTTATTTAACTTCTGCTAGTTTTTCAATATCGGGTTTTTATTCGGAATTTCAATGAACAATAAAATTCTGCTTGCAATAGTTATGAAACGATTGTAACTTCTTGTCTTATGCACAGGGCTCCAGATAAGATTTGAGCATTCTAGCAGATCAAGAAGTGGTCAACATTTTGCTTGATGTTAATTCCCTTCGGTGATAACTTAGCAATGAAGATAGTATACAGTAAGACGACAAGGTAACGATTTAAACCTGTTATGCCCTCCAACACAGGTGTCTAGGTAAGACATCTGTGTTGATCATCAAGATAATCGGGAATGCATAACGCGAATGAGGGGTGGGAGGCTATAAACTGTTTTGGTTTGAATGTTAATGTTTGCCTCATAAATAAGGAAAAAGGTTCAACCGGTTTTATTATGTAACAAGTTCAGCTTTGTGTATGTTTGAGAAAGGGAAAACCTGTTTGCACGCTTCAAAACCAGTTTTTGTTTACATTCAAAGCAAAGATGAGAAAAATATTAACGTTTTTGATTTAAGCCTGGTAACTTAGCTAAGTCACAAAATCAAAATTTGACTAGTTGCCCATTTTTAAATACCTTTGACATTTTTTTTTTATAACGGTCAAGAAACGATTAACCTACTATGTCATAGTAGCACAAACTAAAATAGGTCCTCTTTAGCTTGTTGTAAAAAGGTCAAAATTTAGATTGACGATATATTCTGCTCGTAGTTACAAGAAAATGATTTAAGCTTGAGATGATGTAGGGATTTGGTCAAGACAGAAATCCTATCGAAACTTTTTGTTTTTTAAAACAAAAATTAAATTTTTACTTTTACTCATATGAAAGCAAATTAAAAAGCGTAGTAATAGTATAAATTGATCTTTGCGTGCTTAAAAAGATACTACATAACATGAATGATTAAGTTATCATTTCAGTGGGCAGATGTCGACACTCTGCATATATATCATTTAATTTGATTGATTTTTGATTAATTGAGTTTTTCATGTTAACGCATTTCGGAGTTGTTTAAAAAAAACCTTTCGTCACTATAAAACCGAGCCACGATGGCTCAAGTGGTAAAGGCACTAAACTGCCACAATGAAGAACCGGGGTTCGATCCCCAGTGACGTCCTGAAGACCATCCAGCTTCAGATCGACAGATACCAGCATATCTGAAAAATAGAAGCGGCCTGTGCGTAAGGCTAACCACAACCATGCCGTTAGTAGTAAAACTGTTGAGCCCACAATGGACTGTAGTGATTCTACATTATGTCATTACAGAGGAAAAACTGAGAAAGATACTAAATTTGAAGAGATTAGAGAATTAAATGTTTGCTGCAAAGAAAAGGAGAAAAGCGACTCTCAAATTAAATTAAATGTATACAAACATGTGACTGATAGAATAAAATATCTGAATTTTTTTTAAATACTTAATATTTTTTTGTGCATAAGATATTTAAAAAGCTGCCAATTTTATACGAAAATTAATATTATTCAAGTGTAGTGATTATAATATCCCATCAAAAATATCGAAATATAAAAAAAATAGGCGAAAATTAGTCGTGATAACTGCCGGAAAGATTTATAAAACGATAGAATTATCACGTTAAAAAAGGAATACTCAGGTGTGCAATTTGAATTTTCAGCATCATAAAAATATCGGGACTTTAAAAAGTGAATAGCTACAAAANTGAAAAAAAAAAAAAAAAAAAATCGGCGAGTTGCATAGTTTTAGTGCAAATCGGGCGAGCGAAAAAAATATTTATTCAAATGTGGAATTCGAATTTCTCGTTTCTTAATAATATCGTATGAAAATATTAGAATTAAAAAAACTACGTTAAAAAGAGATTAACAAATGCACGATTTGAATTGTGCGTGTCGTAATAATATTGAAAATATAGTGATTTTTCTTTTTCTTTAAAAAAAGTCACTTTCTCAGATTGATCAAATTTTCTCAGTGTTGTTTAAAAAAAAAACACTGAGAAAATTCGTAGTAATAATAGCCGACGAGTACAGAATAGATTTACGATAACATCGACGCAAATCGAGAGCACCAAAAAGGGATTGCTCAAATGTTGCTTGTCATAATAACGAATTTCAAAAACCACGAGAAAATCAATTGCGTTTGCTGCAATTGGAAAAATAAAGATGATCGAGAGCGGTGAAAAGTGATTATTGAAATGCGCGATTTGGAATTTCCATGTCATAATATCATATTAAAAATTAATTCGGTCTAAATGGATCAAGACAAAAAAAGGTGCAAATATATCCCATTGATTAAATAATTTTTCAGTAATAAATCGGAATTCGCAACAAAATTGTTACTCATTAAAATTTAAGTATTGAAAAAAATAAATTGCCTCGGTAGTCCATTCATTTCATCTGAAGTTATGGAATTTTTCTTCTTGAAGTTTCGTTTTTCTTTAATATATATACATAAAAAACATCGTTATTGTGCGTGAACGATAAGTTGGAAGAAAAAAAAAAGAAAAAACGGGTGCTGCTAAAGGGAGAACAAATAACTCATTAACGAGATTACATAGACAACAAAATCTAAATTTTAGATTATAAATTACTGATCAGCGGAAGTACACGAATAAACAGTTCCGAGAATCGCATGTCTGCGTACATATGTAACACATCGTGTTATACTGACACTCAACAAGGACTATGTTAATTCCTGCTAAACTCGCTATATTTCATTTTGAACAGTTGTTCGCGAAAAACAAATATGAAGAATATGTTATGATTTACGTTTTTGGATCATTTTTTCTTTACCTTGGCCAGTAATAATTAGAATGAACTTTTCATTAGATATTTTTTCCCACCACATAACGTGCATATCAAGTTCCTTAGATATCGGTAAATTCGAACGAACTCTACGTTGGCCTAAAGCAGTGGAATTTCAATTTAAGTACTTAATACATTAAAGATTAACAATTTTAAATTTTGTCACGTTCATTTTATTTATTTACAAAATTCGAGCAATTATGCAGAAAAAAAACAGAGTTAACAGTGTAGAAGTGTATTCAATTTAAAAAAGAAATCCAGAGATATCGAACCAGAAAATAATGACTTTTTATTACTATAAAAAGCAATCTCCTTCACATTTGCTAACCTTGGCCATGCAACAAAAACAAATCGTAAGTATATCATAACATCCATTTATAGACTAAAAAAAAAAAAAAAAAAAGAGAGAGAAAAATATCATGGTGGTTCAAATACAAAACATATCATCAAGTCAAAAAAACTGACTTATAACAATTCTGCAAGTAACAAAACCACCCAGTTTATGACTGGGCTGTAAGAGGTACAGAAGTTAACGCAAAACGTTTTGCTTTAACAAAAAACATATCAAGTATAACAAATTTGGCAGATCTCAGCTTGGTTGAGTATAGTGATCCTAAACACAAGACTGGTCTTCCTTACAAACATAAGATGGCTTTTTAGAATGTAACAGAGATAACAATGGCACGGAAAACCCAAGGTCTAAGCTTTTTAAGTTGGAGCGTTACACATCCATTGTAAAGAGGGCATCCTCATGGTTTTCTGAAATAAATACATTGTATAAGATAAAACAAGCTTTAGTAATTTTTTTTATATTAATGGTTTATTACAATATGCAATTCTATCCTGATTCAGATAAACTAATAAAAAGTGGCAAGCAAATTAATTGATATAAAGACATGCTTCTAATTTTTGAATTTGAATATAAATTTTTTTAATAAAATTTGGCTCCAATAATAATAAAGAATATTTTGTCAGAAACAAAGTTGTTTAAAAAAGGTTACTCTTTAATTGTGTATTTATATATCAAAGTATAGCACCAGTAGGAAATACAATCATAGAGCACCATAAAATTCTTTGACTTAGTAGCAATTATAGTAAGGTATTGAAGGAAAATTATTGGATTTTTGAAATTTCAGGAGGAAAAAATAAGTCATGGTTAGTGTGAGAGTAACAGAACATTCAGAAAATTTTCTTTTAATGAATCAATTTGGATCAATTTATAGGATCACTCGTTTCTGTGAAAAAAATAATAACTATGCAACCAGCGTCAAAGTTGTTAAGTGTATACTATACTGCTGTGCAATAGAAAAATTGAAGAATTAAGCAAAAAATTCAAAATCAATATTTATATGTATTTGGTATATTTGTATAAGCTGCATATTGAAATTTTATTTTAGAGTTGACAGCAACATGAAGAAAACAGTTATCATGCAGCTTTTCTTGAAATCTATTCTAAAGCACTTACACACCCCCCCCCTATGTATGACATTATAGAACTTAACATTCTTGATCGCAGGCTTTTATTTCTTCCTCCTTTTCAAACTTTTTATTCTTTCTATACAGAGTGGTAGTAAAACACCTTAATTCTTCAAATGTTGAGCCCCCACTTTGGTAAAATTGCACTGAAATTTCTCTTATATGCATTTTGAATAATATGAGAAAACAAGTTTTTGGATGAAGCAAAGCCTGCTTCTAAAAATTGGAACTAAAGGGGGTTATTTCTTTTTTTATATACTATAACTACACCTTTCTAACTTAAAAAGAAAAGAAAAAAGGTATAAAAAAATTTAAAACATTTGTCAAGATATTATGATACTGCAAAGTTGAACTAAATAATTTTTAAGTTTAATGAATAAAATGATGAAAAAAAAAAAATCAAATTTATTCAATTTAAATATTACTGACATAGTTTTTCCCGAGTTCTATAACCAGGGGTCTGTCCAGGCCGAATTTACTACCGTTTAGCGGTACCTTCACAAATGCAACTTTAGGAAAAACGGTAGTTTCACAAATTCAATTTTAGGAAAAACGGTAGCTTCACAAAATACTTTTTCCTAAAATTTCATTTTTGTATCCCTTAAGAAACGATAAATCCATATTTTTGTGTTGATTCTTTAATATAATTTTTCACAAATTATGTCTAAATTTTCACAAAATAGGTACCTCTCAGAAAAACCTAGACAGACCCCTGATAACACACTTCTGAAAAACTTTATCAGTAATATTTTAAAGTTATATTATAACTTAATGTTCACTAGGGAATATTAAATCATAATACAACTTTTCAACCCTTTCTCTCCACTTAAAAANCAGGAAATATAACCATAGAGCATCAAATTTATTTTGACTTAGTAGCAATTATAATAAAATATTGGAGGAAAATTATTGAATTTTTCAAACTTCCGGAGGAATAAATAAGTCATGGTTTGTGTTAGAGTAAAAGAATGCTTAGAAAATTTTCTTTCTTTTAATTAATCTATTTGATAGGATCACTTGTTTCTGTGAAAAAAATAATAACTATGCAACCAGTGTTACCCGAGATATTATACTGCTGTGCAATAGAAAAGTTGAAGAATGAAGCAAAAAATTCAAAATTAATATTTATATGTATTTGGTATATTTGTATAAGCTACATATTGAAATTTTATTTTAGAGTTGACTGCAACATGAAGAAAATAGTTATCATGCAGCTTTTCTTGAAATCTATTCTACACCTTTCTAACTTAAAAAGAAAAGAAAAAAGGTATAAAAAAAATTTAAAACATTTGTCAAGATATTATGATACTGCAAAGTTGAACTAAATAATTTTTAAGTTTGATGAATAAAATGAAAAAAAAAAATTATTCAATTTAAATATTACTGACATAGATTTTCCCGAGTTCTATAACACACTTCTGAAAAACTTTATCAGTAATATTTTAAAGTTATATTATAATTTAATGTTCACTAGGGAATATTAAATCATAATACAACTTTTCAACCCTTTCTCTCCACTTAAAAAAAATTCTTATTCACCCGCAAAAGATTCTTTTCAACAATGTATGTGAATTACATGTAACATAAGGGGTGCATAAATTAAGTAATAATATTCTTTATTCAAATATAATTAAAACTTAATATTTCCTCTCTCAAAATAATTCTCTCGGGAAACCATACATCATAGGTGACAGTTCTTCCTAATCGATATTCTTAATAGAAGTGCAGAAACACGGACATTGGAATAGCTCTAAAAATTGTCGGTTAAAGCCTTCCAAGCGTCCCAAAATCACATGATGGGAGATGAATCTTCAGAGAAGAAATTAAGCAGCCCCAGGAACATGTTTGCTATCCAAAAACACATTTATTGACATTTCAGAGTGAAAAGACCCTTTGCCATTCTTCATGTTTGATTGGTCTCACAGGCATGATCTTTTTGCAGTTCAAATTAAATTCAAAACCGCAATGATAAGTGGTGGGATATAAATTCCAATGTTCTTCAATCATTCTAATTGCTATGATGGGCCTGAAAATTCGAGATCCGAAATTATCTTCAGAAAATTACTTGCCACCAAAACACGTGGGCTCATTAAAAAAAAAAAAGTTTTTTTTTCTGAAGTTTTAGTTGATTAATTTTGAAGCAAAATCAGATAACTTACCATCGCTCCATATTAATGTTATTCATTTTTAGAGAGCACTGCAAAAACTGATTTCACAAAAAAGATGACTTAGGACAATCAAGCTAATCTACTGCAAGGACAGCCAAACTTAGGGGGCTTTAGCCTTCTCACATTTCATAAATGAAGGGATATAGTCCCTTGAAGATGATAGTTTTTCTCTTAATATTTGTGTAATTAAATTTACAATTAAAAAAATTGACATTTTTTTGTCTGAATTCTAAAAAAATGTCTATACTTCAAGTGAGCTTTAACATGTCCTTGGAGAAAACTGCAAACAAATCACCGCTTACTCATCCCCTCACAGAAGAAATATACTGCCTCACTACTGATGAATGGTAAAAATTCTTGGTTTCAAATGCCACAGCAAACAAAATAAAAAAAGGACAAAAAAACAAACAATGAAACAGAATAAAAAAATATTGTTAAATTAGACAAACCAAATATAGATTCTTTCTGGCTGATTCATTTAAATTTTATTTTGTACTGAAGTAACAGTTTTTACATCGATAGGCTGTTCCATAATGGCTCCTCTTAATAAATATTTCCAGCATCATTATACAAAGTGAACTATGCAAACTAGGGAATGCAAATTATTTAAACCAGAAAGAATGGAAACACCTCGAAACTATGATCAATAACTACTGAATCTAATAATAGCTAAATAGTTAAGATCAAAAACCACTTTATGTGAGAATGGATGAAAAGTTAGATGGCTCTTTCTTGGCATATGATTGTAAAAATGAAAAAAATTATAATCACGTAGAAATAAAAAACATTTTTTCTTTCCAATGCCCACCAGATTGACGCACATTGTTTAGGTATCAATAAGGTACATTTGTTGCTCACCCCTTCAGGGGCATCATATTAGGTGGGCTAACATTGCTCCTACAGTATGGAACAGAGAATAAAAGAAAATCCACACTTTGTCTGGAATTAGAACTCAAGACCTTTCTGATGAGAGGTCAGATTCCTGACCATTACACAGTCTGCTCCACATAAGAAAAAAAAAACATGTTTGAAAAAAGCATTAAGAAGTTTATTTGTGTGTAAATTTATTAATTTTCAATATTTTTTTATTATTATTTATTTAAATGCTACTTCATGAAATGAAAAACAAATGGAACAAGAGGATATGTATATCACAATAGATCAAGAATTTAAAAATATAGCATTTAATTTTAAGAAACCCATTTCCATTTAATAAACTTAGCTAAAATTAATTAGTGAATTATTCTCTAATACACCACATCAAAAAATCCAGATTGCCACAAATCACAAATCCAGACACCACAGATCTTTACAAATTCAAGAATTTTAAGTTTTATTTTTTCTCAAACAATTTGAAAAAAATGCACAAAATCTTTTGCTAATGTGGTTATTCTGCAATATCCTGGAATATATTGCAAAGTACAACAGTTTTAAAAAACAATTAAAAAAGAAGAAAAAATATTATCAGGGTTCATGCTTTATTTCTGAAGAAAAAAATTTCCTTAAAATGCAAGCCATTTATAATGAAAGCATGAAATAACAAAGACTCAATTATAATATATTAATAATGAAGAAATATTGTCTCATTATTAATTCAGAATCATTATCATTTCCATATATTATTAGATGTGAAACAATCTTAAACCTTTTAAGCTTGAAATTCTGTGAAGTACAGAATGGCTAGTTGAATGTTCTGCAGCAGAATAAAAATAAAAGCATAAACTTCTAATTCCTATCTCAAATAAAATAAAAATACAAGGATAAGAATTTGTAATTTTCTTTACCATTCTTTTCCTCAATGCGCTCCACAGTGCCATTTTCCTTTGGTTTCTTATGATTAGGACTAGTAATGCCAGGAATATTCGGCAAATTCTTTGGAGGAGTTCGAGCGATTGGAGAATTCCGCATTTGCATTAAAAATGCTCTATCATAAAAAATTCTAGTACCTATAGAAGAGAGTACATTGTATTTGTTAACATCAATGCAAAAATTTTATACAAATTTTGAAATAAATATATAATTTCAATTTTTTAATTTATTTGCTCAATCAAATTTTAATACATAATATATTAGCTAGAGTAAAAATACATGTATGATAAGTTTATATTACAATTCCTATTTTAAAAGAATACATTGTAAGCAAGTTAAACTAAATTATTTAAGGTTAAACTTTCATTAAGTCACAGTTTTGAATTCCCCCCCCTACCATTTTAAACTAGTAAATTACATGCAAACTCTCTCTTACACACTAAATATTAAAATATGCACAAAAGATAAAAATCTATAAAGGAAAATTGGTAAAGAGGAAAAAAAATCTAAATAACAGATATAAGAAATTTATGCTACGAAATTCATGATCATGGAAAAAGAAAATTAACTATTAAAAAGTATCTAAAAATTATTATGCCAAAATCTTATAAAAATAAAATGAAAATTTTTTTTCTTCAGAGCTTGCACAAAATAAATTTATTTTTAATTCTTCACCACAAACTCTTTTAAAATATTATCGAGGGTCTAGGGTAGGAGTGCACAACATGCGGCCCATCTGCTGTTGATGCGCAGCCCTCGGGAATTTCTGAACGCAATAAAAACATTAATTTTAATTTGGTTTTTGTTTAAACATTGTGAATTTTCTTTAATTAAAATATTTAATTCAAATTTATACTAATCTATAAAATGCATATATTTTTTGCACTTTCATTTTGTAAGCTCCTTTTTTGGTAAGTATTTACATCTATATATATTCGATAAATTAATTATTGTGAAAAATGGAAAAAAGTTTTTTCTAAAAAAAGTATGTTTTTTTTATTTTAAATAAATTCAAATAATTAAAAGTATTTCATTTTCTGCAAATATGTTAAGTTTACTAATAAAAATATTTAGTGCTTACAGCACTAATGTTTACATTAAAATTATCATATTTGCCACCAACATGACTAAATATGTGTGCTGCCCCTTCGTTAATCTACCTGCTGTGCAAAAGTGGCCCTTCATTCAAAAAGGTTGTGAATCCCTAGTCTAGGGCAAAATATTCTCAAGGATAATATTTTACCTAATAAATAAGCTAGATCTAATTTTTTTATTATTTGAATACCAACATATTTATACCAAGGGGGAAAAAACACTTTTAACAGGATCTCATTAATCTTAATTCCTGTCTATTTTAACTTTTTAATAAAATAACTAACTAATATAAAACCCACTCTTAAAATATAGAGTATAATAAGAAAAATAGAATCGGCACCAATAATATGCAAATAGCATCTACAATAGTCTTATAAATAGCATTTAAATCACAATTAAATAATTAATAATAAATGGAAAAAAAAACAGTTGTCACACCTAAAAAAAATTATAATTTCAAAAAAAAAAAAAAAAAAAAAAAAAAAAAAAAAAAAAAAAAAAAANAAAAAAAAAACTGAGGATTTTAGGTGCAATTTTATCTCATCTTATCTAAATTATCTTTTATCTATCTATTATCTATAAGCATATGATTTTGTTTATTAACATAAATTCATAGATAAAAAAATAATTAGAATCCTAGATAACATTTCATAGATAAAAAAGACAAATAATGACCAGAGCATAATAAAAGAGAATTAGGATTAAGACTGATTATAATATTTTGGTGAAGGAAATAACAAAAACAAATTAAGACATAAAGGGCTTATAAAAGGGTGGCTAAAATAGATGGTTTTAATAATTTATATTCTTTATGGCATAAACTAGTGCACAATTTAGCATTTTTTAAACTTCTTTTTCTCGAACTGATTAAATATTTTCTTAACTTGTTAAGTATGAGTACCGGCAAAATAACTAGCAATGATACAATATTTCTCAGATTTATTCAAATAACTTAATTAGAAGAATTTTCTCTCTTTTTTTTAATAAATTAAATTAGCAAAGTTGAAAATGCAGAATCTACTATAAATAATTGCATCATCTGATTGAATAAGAATAGTTGACTTAAGAATAATTTGTTGGGTGTCAGAAAAAACTGTCATAACATTTACTTATCTGCTGTAATCAAAACATTTTTCTATATTAGTCCAAAAAAAAAAACAAAAAAAAAACTATTTAAAATATTAAAACATTGCGCACCATGACAATCAGGTGAGCTGGATTTTTTGATCAATGACCGTGAGTACAAGCTGAGATACAATTGTTAAACAAATTTCAAGTCACTATAAAATTAATGTTAATATAAAAATTTACAGAAAATATATTTATAAGATAAATTTTTTTTAACAGAATGAATTATAAAAGTGTCAGAAATTTCAAATTATTTGCAATTCAGATGGGAGAAGGTACTAGAAAAGAAAAACAAAGCAGTTACACTTAATATTAAAAAATACTAATATTATTACAAATTTTTGCTTAAGTGAAGTTAATTATTATCATGTTATAAATAATAATTTCAATTAATTTATTTAAGTATCAATTCCTCAACTCAACTACTTCAGATAACAAAGGGAAACAAAAATATAATTTATAACTAGTCTTTAAAAACATAAGAATCAATCCCTCAGAAACTTAGCACTTTTCTTACAGTAGGTAAAGGAGAAAATAGAGGACATTTACTTTTAAAGTTTATACCCAAAAATAAAATTAAAATATCAATCTACATTTATACAGGATCTCATCTGAGGAGATTAAAATACTTTAAGAAAATTTAATTTACATCATAAATTTAAATAAAGTAATATCATTTTAAGCTTTTTTTTTCTTTCTCCTCTCAGTAACATATTGAAGAACTTTATCCCATTCTGGAATTTATTTCCCTATTTATCAGGACATGTTCTAGATCAGTGGAGATATTCTAGAAACAGTGGACATGTTCTAGAAACAGTGGACATGTTCTAGAACATGTCCACTGTTCTAGAACATGTCCACTGTTTCTACCCACATAAAAACACTATTTATCTGAAACTTTTTAAATCACTATGAATGAGGTTATGATACAAATTCTGAGTTATTCCTGCAAATAAAAATTCTATTTCAAGACCAAAAAATTCACTAAATATAGGAAATAATGTTTTTATTTATTATTTCTGTTTATTTGAAGGTGGTTAAAGTTAACACTGAAGGAATAAAATTTCATAGTTTTAAAAATTCTATGATATTATTTTAAAATTTCAAATAATACTTTTAACTTATAAGATAATGTAATAAAGATATCAACTAACTATGTCTTGAATAAATAACTTGTTTTACAATAGAAAAAACAGAAACATCCTTTTTTTTACCATTTTAGTTGACTTGAAGAGAATAATTCATTGACTTAATTTATATATATATAAGGATATTTAGTAAAGTTCAAGGTTTATAATTAAGAAAAAAGACAGAATTAAGACTTGAGTAATATCTTTAAAGCAAAGACAAATTGACTAGGTTATTTAAATTTATGAAGTTAACATTTCTAAAACAACTTTTGTATTCAGTACTTTAAAATATTTATTTAATTCTATAAATTGCAAGCAATTAATTTGCATTAAATAAGAATACTTCCGAAGAAATGTTGTTAATAAGAAATTCTATTTTAATTCTAATAGCGTTCAGGGATTGCCACACTTGGATATTAAAACCAAGGGAAACTTGTTAATCAAAACACAGTTAACATTCATTCTAGGTTCAGACGATTTTATGATTTCTGTATATAAAAACCTTTTTGTAAAATCTCGCATCGAAAACTATAATTTACAGTATACTTTTTACCATTTAGAAAAAATGTTGCTAGTGAGAAATTCTAAAATCGTCAACGGATTGCCACCATTAGATACCGAAACCTAAGGAATCGCGAAAAGCGAAACATAGCCAGATAGAGAAGAATTGCAATTTTAGTTTCTAAACAGGTATTCAATTTTCATCATACATATGTTAAGATTTCCACCGTTGCATATGCTTATCACGTATAGGTATCGGCGCCGTAATCCTTTTTTTCCGTAAACATCTGACGCATACCAAAACAAAGTCACATGCTTCAATCAAAACAAAACATATGTCTTTAAATGGACCACAACTTATAATGCCAAAACTAAGCTATTAAAATTTTAAACATAAATAATATTTTTTAAAAAAAATATGAATACAAACCCCCTGGAGTAGTGGAAAAAATGCTCCCACCAGGTGTAGAAGAGTAGTCTATAGGTAATTGAGACGGATCATTAATTACCACTCTACCAGGGATTTCTCGAGTATTGCTAGTTTTCCTTTGAGGGGAATTATTATTCATCATCTTCAATGTATTTACAAAAATATATATAAAAAAATAACAACGAGTAAAAACTTTAAATCATCAACAAAGTATAATTACAAAACGACTCTTGCAATCCTAGAACCACGACGCACAATAACAAATATACACACAAAAAACAAGCGAAATGTGAAGCACGCTACCGCTATTGCCATAGGATAATACAAAATTACGTCATGTAGTTTTCTTTTTTGAAATTAAAATTGTAAATTAAGTGCTATATGTGATTTAATATTATTTAAATATTTTTAAAGCATTTTTTATATGCTTTTATGCTTATAATTCAATTTTATTAGTATTATTTCAGTTTTTCTTTGAGGCATGTTTTTATTTCTGAATCTCACTGTAACTTTAGCTATTATTATTTGTTGCTGTCTGCTTGTCTGCTGCTCAAGAGAGAAATTTGAGACGAAGTGACTGATGTTTATTCACCTTTATATTATACATCTTGGGAATTTATAGGCTAACTTTATTTGTCTTAGTCACACTTTTATGAGCTTAAAATGTCTTTGACTCGTGTTATTATTTTTTTTACTCTGTTCATATTGAGCTATTGTAGTAAATATTCTAAAAAAGCTAACGTTCCCGATTATGATAAACTGCAAACAAAAGATAAACCATTTAGAATTCAAAAAATAAATTTAATCTGGGAAAAAGCCTCTAAAGTGAGTAAGAAATGCGTATTGTTTTTTCTCTGCAGTTTTGTTATTTTAATGAGATATTTTATGCTAAAAGGAATTATTATGTTTTCTCATAATTTGTGATTTATTTACATAAACGGATTTGATGTCTCTGCAAATAAAAAAAAATTTACTACGGAAAATGACTTTGATTTTATTAAAATTGCCGATTGAGACTCCGAACGACGTTTAATTTTTTCTGCGATGCCGGTAATAATTTAAAGCCAATTACTAAGTAGTTCGTATCAATGTCAGAATCTCTTACTACAGGAAATGTATAATTAGAAGGCGTCGTCTGTAAATAAGGAAATAGTTTCTTATCGTAATCAGCGATGGCATAATTACCGAGTCTTGGCAACTTCAACAGTGGTTGACCAGAAATTTAAAAAAGAAAAAAAAATCCCTTCAACTTTATTTGTCTTAGTCATAGTTTTATGAGCTCAAAATGTCTTTGACTCGTGTTATTATTTTTTTTACTCTATTTATATTAAGCTGCTGTAGTAAACATTCTAAAAAAGCTAACGTACCCGATTATGATAAACTGCAAACAATAGATAAACCATTTAGAATTCAAAAAATAAATTTAATGTGGGAAAAAGCCTCCAAAGTGAGTAAGAAATGTGTATTGTTTTTTCTCTGCAGTTTTGTTATTTTAATAAGATATTTTATGTTAAAAGGAATTATTATGTTTTCTCATATTTTGTGATTTATTTACATAGACGGATTTGATGTTTCTGCAAATAAAAAAAAAATTATACAATGAAAAATGACTTTGATTTTATTGAAATTGTTGATTCAGACTCCTAACGACGTTTAATTGGGGAGATTTCCGTATTGTGGTCTGTGGCAGAATAATTGCCAAGTCTTGGAAACTTCCGGGCAGTGGCCCGCAATAAACTAAAAAAACTGAAAGGGACCAACTCGAAAGGTATAACTAGTAGCCACCCCCTGGCAAACATCTGCATAAAAATTTGCAAGTTTAAAATCTATTTGGCATCTTAGCGATGTCAGTATCTCTTACTATAGGAAATGTATAATTCGAAGGCGTCCTCTGTAATTAAGGTAATAGTTCCATATCATGATCAGCGATGGAATAATCGTAGATTCTTGGCAATTTCATCAGTGGTTGACCAGAAATTAAAAAAAAACATTCCTAAAGAGGATCAACTTCCTGGCAGCGGCCCGTGAGAAGGTAAAGAAAACATCACAGAAAGTGACCAACTCGAAACGTAGACTGCCCCAGGCAAATATCTACATGTTTTTTTTTAAAAATTAACTAAATTAAAATTAGTTTAAAATCCATATGGCACCTTGGTAATTGTAGTTGGCACATCAGGTCACAATATAGAAATATCTCTAAATAATTTAACAGATAAAACTGTTATTTAATTAATTGGTCAATTTCGATCATTTTGATTTTTAATATAAGACAAAATAATGGTTAAGTCTTCCAGGCCATAGACGTAGCGTGAGGGGGCGTGTATTTTATTTTTAGAAAATTCTTCGTTTATTTAAGTGTTATGTATATATGCATTTTTATTGTATATATGTATGCATATTTTTATATATAAAACTTATGACATGGTTGAAAAAATGTTGGCAATTACTAACTTTTTTAACTGTGATGACATCTGAGTTTCTGTTTTGTGCACGATTTCGTATTGGTGATTAATAATGATTTATATACTTTTTTCTTTGTCATACCCCTATAAAGAACTAATGCAAAGAATGCTATAACCTTGCTTTTTATATAAATTATTTCAATGCTTGCAGAACATTGAATTACGTGAGATGATTTGCCCAAATTCTCTTAATTTAACTATCAGGGGTCTGTCCAGACATTTTGTAAAATGTCCATTTTTGTAAAATTGTGAAAAAATTACTCATAATTTGTGAATATAGAATAAACGTTAAGTCACATTCTTTCAACCAGGGTCCTGCTTTTGTGAATTTGTGCAAATAAGGTCCTGTTATTGCAAAAAGCTTTTTCACGGAGTGTAAATTAAAGAGTTTAAATTGTAAAAAGATACAAAATTATGCTCAACACTGTAAAATCATAATGAAAAATTTTTTTAAAAAATAAACAGCAATTGCTTGTACTAAATTAGAGATGCAACATACAAATATTTGGTATTTAGCCTATAGTGCTGAATGCAGAATATTCATTTCAGACGAGTAAGGGAAGAAGTGTCTGCCGAAGACAAATCCTAGTTCGTTTACATCTGTCTTTCTCCCTCCCCCTGGGAAGGATTTATTCGATTAACAAAACAATAATGAAGATAAACAAATTTGTGAAGGGTCCGTTTTTATGTAAAGATATTTTGTGTAGGGTCCGTTAACGGACCCAAATCTCTTCTAAACAGACCCTTGACAATGTATGCAAAATAAATTTTAAACATACTGTTTACTTGATAAAAATAAATATTTTTTTGTGGCCATCTGATACATGTAAAAAGTGAATATTTAAAGGCCCAATTTTTTACCCATGTTTTGACTGCATCTCACCAAATCCTAGTGAGGGCTTTTAATAAAGGGAATTTAAACATTTCCCTTTTTAAAAAATTAAAAAAAGGGAGGTGGAAAATGACAAAAGTAGAGGCGTCAATTAAAATAGATTTCTTTTTCATATATATTTATGCTAAATAATTTGTAGTTGAGTGAAAAGAATGATAGATTAATTAGAATTATAGATTAAATTTCTTTCTAATTTATGTGACACAATTAGTATGGATATTTTTTTTAAAAGAGTGTTTTCATTTATGCTTTAAAAATAGACCGGTAAAAAATATAGTATATTTCGCTACACATTTCCCCTGTTGAGGTAACTTTTTTACCATTACCTTTTTTTTCCCAGAGACCCATTTTACCAGTACCTTTTTTTTACGGGATCTTTTTTTTCTTTCCCAGTCTACCAAAAGACAAGTTTTATTTACAAAAATGTAGCTGTGTTGTTAATTTTATTCATTATGCTTATATATATTTTTATTGAGTTAGCTTAAATTTTTTATTTTTTAAAAGCTAAATGTCTAGTTTTAAGTAGGCACTACAATGTTTTAAAATGGAATAAATTTAATAACATTTAATTTAGAAGTGACAGACTTTCTTCTTGAGCACTATAGCCTGTTACAGATCAAAAGGTTGTAGCTCTTAATTTTTTGATTTGTTTAAATCTTACCTGGCATAATAATTTTCCATCAACTCCCTCTCAAGTTTGATCTGTTATCCCTAAAATGTATTTTTATTTTAGAAATTACCTCCTGAGAAGCTAAAATCTTTATACACTGATCTCAAATTTCAAGATAAAGAAGAATTAGCTTGGAAGAAACAAAAAAGTGAAGGCTTAGATAAGAGCGGATTAAAAGAGAGCTTAATTGTTAAAAGCTTCTCTGGTAATATTTATTAAATTATTATTTAAAATTTTTTCCATTTTCTCATTTAATCAATTGTTTTAAGTAAGATTAACAATGTTGACTCTGAGTTAGTACATTTTATTGATATGATTAGTCTTCTTAGGATGCTTTACTGATTATACCCTAGGTAAATCAATGTAAAAAAAGGGGGATTACATGTGTTCATCATAAGTTTACACAAACAATTTCTATATTGAAGCACTAATCCTACAGTTAGTAATAAAAATTTACATTTTCAATGTTATAAAATTTTTCAAATGTAGGAAAAAAAAAAGATTTATAATTTATGCTTTATTTAAATTCTTTAAATCAAATATTATGGTATTACTACAAAAAGAAAAATAAGTTCTAGGGTTCTTCTTTTTTCTAAATTTATATTTTTTATTATTATTTATTTATTTTGTTGATATTTTGCTCCTGATGAGCAAAATATAGTGCGACTTTGAGGAGAACTCCTCCAGACTGAAAGTCTGGGGCTGTTTGCTGCTATGGTAACAGGTGAGAGTACATTTACAGAGATGCCAACTTGCTCCGGACAGCAAATATATATTTTAAAGTGGTAGTTTATCAATTGTAATTCTTGGTTTAATAAATTCAATTTAATGGATTTTTATCCACCACTATTTCTAAATAATTCGTAGGCTTATATCATTCACCACTTTATAGTTCTTATGTCCTGCTGTACCTTTTCAAAAGCAAAAATAGTTAAATATTTGCTTTGTAATTAATTACCGTTTTTGTAAATTATTTTGGCGTGTCCGGAGCAGTTGGTATCTCTGCATTTCTAATGGGGGAGAAATGGAGGAAAGAGGGTGTCGATTGGTTTACTCTCGATGACCTACGCTAAGATTAAGTGATCTTACCTTGATCTTCGAAGTGATCTTACCTTGTAACCATAGTACCCGCCACAACGCGAGACTGGTGTCTGGAGGAGTTCTCCTGAAAGCCGCACTATATATCTAAGAGTAATTCTACAACAGTTCAACTTTTCTAGGAAAGAGCATGCAATGTAATTACAAAATGAAACTTTTGCTCTCAGCTTATGTAATAGCAAGCATTATTTATCAAATAACATTAAAAAGCATAATATACTTTTAAATGTATTTTATTTCGAAGTGTGTGCAAGTGCACCTTATTAACACCCTTGGTAGTAAACTTTTAAAAGAAAACTATTAAACATATTTTAGCTTTAGACAATAATGAAATGTCTAATAGGCTTAAAGATTTTATATTTTCTTTTAGCTATTTTAGAAAAATATAATCTGCAGGATGACTTCAAAGTTCTACAGGATGCAGCTTTGATTTCCAAACCTGTTGTTGAAGAAATGTCTAATGGAGTCTATTATAAAAATGTCTTTAGAGATAAGAAACTGAATAAGCTGTGGTTGAAAGCTGAAAAACAAGGTTTTGCATGTAAGTTTACACTGCACTATATTTGTCGTTTTTTCTTTTACTTTATTTCCCCACTTATTTTTTTAATATTGACAGGGGTCGCATTCCCCCTAAAATTCATAAAATTCCTAAAACTATGTGCAAACCCTAAAATTCCTAAAAATCTGATAAAATTTTGTTGGTGTTCCTAAAAAATTAGAGTTATAGGCTAAATATAAATAAAAAAGCAATAATCTAAAATATAATAATTTAACTACATTAATTAAAACTGTTTTAATTTTGCCACATGGGAATTCTGATCCTGAGATAGGTTTTTCGATAAATAAAGCAATGCTTGATGTGAGTCACCATGAGAATACTATTATGTCTCTTAGACTAATCAAAGATACCATTCGAAATTATGGAGGAGTGTTGAAGATCACCACAACACTATTGAGGGCAGTAAAAGAATCTCAACAATCATATCAAGAATATATTAGAAAAATGATCATGATTCATTTGTTTTTCTCTAACTTCTAATATAAATTGCTGATTTGAAATCTAATAATATCACACAATAGTTTTTCTTAATAAAGTAAGGTAAAGGGTAATAATAAAGTTTTGATTAAGAAGGTAAAAATTAAATAAAAATTCAAGTTGGTGTTAATTTATTTTTTCTCTTGATTTATTCTCACTTTTGCCTGTTCCTGAATTATGCACTTAATTTCTGATAGGTAATATGTAAAGTTGAAATTTCATTTTTACACTTTAGAGATTTCATTCTTAACTTAATAAATTTCAGAGCTTTATTTTATGGCTTGCAATTATTTATGATATGTGTGGATGAATTGTAATAATCTTCTGTTATGTAATAAACTACCGTGTGTTCTGTTTTTATCCTAGCAAAATCATATATTACCCCTAAAATTTACCTAAAACTTTTTGAAAAAAGTTCCTAAAATTACCCTAAAATTTTAAAAAACTTTGCTGCTACCCCTGTATTGAGGACTAATTTTAAAATGCATAGATTGTAATATGTGTAGAGTAATGCAAGCATGAACCAATATTCTTTCAAATCATCACTTAGGATGAATCTCAGACAGCTGCCAACTGTCCACACACCATTAAGTGTGGTAGTTAATGCCCATTAGTGTGGCATTAACTGCCACACTTAGTGATGTCAGGGGTCACAGTTGGTGAATGATTGAGAGCTGATATTATCTAAAAACGATTCTTAGAAAAGAATGTATTATCTATAAAAGAATCTTAAAAAGGAAATGATAAATGTGATTATAATGTTTAAACTTTGTCTTCAAAAAATTTTAATTAAATAGAAAAAATTATTATAATTTTAATAGCTATTTGATAATGGCTATAACATCTGTCACTTTTTGAAAATATTAGTCATAATGCATAATGCAATTCATAATAACTCAGGTATTGATTAATTATTAGGTCAAGTTAATTATGATATGACTATCATCTGGTTAATCATCTATTTATAGTCTACAAATATATTAAACATATTCTGGTTTTTATTAATTATTTTGTTTTTATGTAATGATTAATATCTTTAAGTTTTAAGCATGAATTTATTTTAAAAGTTTCAATTTTTCTTTCTCCTGAAAGCGGAAGAATTGAAAACTTTAAAAGAAGAATTTCAGCATCATCAAGATAAGATAGATCAATATTATCAACTTCTTAATCAGCTCCATACTAAATCTTCTGATGGTATTATATTTCCTTTTCTTTTGTTTATTTTTCTTTAATATTTTTCCATCTAAATCTTGTTGTTTCTCTTATACTTTTTTCTAATATGTTTTTGAGGCTCATATTTTGTTCTTGATTTTAGTGATTTATGTTGAAACAAAGTAAAATATGTAATTATTTTAAAATAGTTTTAATGTGCGGTTTATCCAAATAAATTTATTTGAATCAAATTAAATTGTATTATTATCAATAAAGTTTTAACTTAATTCAATAATTTTATGTTTTTATATCATGATTTTTTACAAATATTTTCTTAAATGTGCAAATGAGTTATAGTCAACTTAATTTATTCAGAGTTGCGGGAGAAGATAAAAGATTAAAATTACTGTATTAAATATTTGAAAAGAAATGAAATAATATTAAAATACATAATTGTATTCAAAAAATATTTCTTAAGAGATACAATATTCCATATGTTTTTTTTATTTTATTTCATACCTCTATCCACTTTAACTTTCAAGTTTCTTCTTTTTGCTTCAAGCTATTATGCTCTAAATTTTGATCTTGTGAGTCATATAAATGCATAATTGTTAATTATCATGTGACAATAGAAAAGTTCTGATTTGGGGAGAAAAAATTATCCTCATGATGATTAAACTAAAATATTCAGAGATTTAGTGCGGACTTGTGAGTATCACTTTTCTGAGATAAAATTTCTGGTGTGAAAAATTGCCTGTTGTGGAAATGTAATGTCATGTTCTGTGGGAAAGATTAAGTTATGCTAATGTAACTAAAATAAGAATACATTGTATTCTTATTTAAAAAAAAATAATATTTCTGCAACAGATCGTTGTGAGCCAAGGGGTCATAGAGGTTAAGGCTTCACAATTTCATGTCTAAGGGCATAATTGTGCTTAGGCTTTCTTTACTTTCCAGAGAATCTGAAGCTGGGTGAGCTATAGGGGGATCGATCCTCAGTTCTTCACAATATCAGTTCAATGCTTTAACCACCAAGCCATCACAACTTATTAAAAGTGAATACATTTTTTAAGACTTTTTTTTCCACCACTTTTGCTTTTATTTTTATTCTGATAAGTTGCTTACCATGTTATTTCATGAAAAATATAGGTATAATGTTAGGAAAATTTTTGAGTATTGCCAGCATTAGACTTCACTGAACTGTTCACTGAAAAAAAGCAAAATACGAGGGTTGTAAATTAAATAGTGGCAACTTAACCTTGAAACTCACAGAAAGGCGGGCATGCACAAATAGGATATGGGAGCAGTGAGGTGGCTCTGTTGTCGATGTGTAGAGTGCAAAAAACAGTCGATCTGCTTAGAAGGGTAGTTGTTGTGTGGCGTTTAAGTGAAGAGTTTCGTTTCCATCGCTGTAAAGCATGTTTTCAAAAGGCTTCATGACGAAAAAAACCAGATGCTTGAACCCATCGTGCTACTGTCCTATACGGTAAAGCATTTTCGCCACAGGCTTCCTCTAATCCTCGATAGTATTCTGTTGCATTTTTGCCATAGACCACCTCAATTTTAAGCCACGACCGCTGATCACCTTTTGAAAACATGCTTTGGAGTGATGGAAACGGAACTCCTCACTTTAACGCCTAACAACAACTACCTTCTAAGCAGATGGACTGTTTTTTGCACTCTACACATCGACAACAGCGCCACCTCACCGCTCCCATATCCATTTTGCGCATGCCCGCCCTTCTGTGAGTTTCAAGGTTAAGTTGCCACTATTTAATTTACAACCCTCGTATTT